TTGATTATTTAATTTTAAAAAAGGTAATGAATTTTAAAACAAGAAATCTCAATACTCAATGGATGATATTGGTTCTCTGTAGAGATAATCTACTTTTAAATGATAGGCTCTCTATCTGGGAAATCTCTCAAAATCCAGAAAAAGTCCAATCAAGATTTCTAGGACAGCCGGGCGCGGTGGCTCAAGCCTGTAATCCCAGCACTTTGGGAGGCCGAGGCGGGTGGATCACGAGGTCAAGAGATCGAGACCATCCTGGTCAACATGGTGAAACCCCGTCTCTACNGGAAACATCCCCGCCTCTATGGTGCTGAAATTTTTTTAAATCCAAAATCATGGCTTTTTCTCCCTCTCCCTGGGGAGGAGTTGGGGGTGGGTGGTCCTCAGCCTTCTTCCCAGAGTCCAGTCTGCTTTATACACATATGCCTGGGGGGTGGGGTCCCCAGATTCTAGTTTCTATTACATTCTCTTATTATATTTCCCACTTGGCCAATGTCCTTATGCAAGAAAGCTGCTGGTCTGTGTGGCCTGCTCACTGAGCTCTGAATCCTAAAAGCCTTTCTGCTGTTCCATCTCCTGAGCAGACATAAATGTTCCTCCTGCCCGATTACCCTGTCAGCTGCTGGAGGCATCCTGATCTTTCTTGTTTTAATGGAGCCGCCTCCCACACTTTTACCTTGAAGCAATAGCTAGCTATTAATACACGATGCCATTTATCCTGTTAAGGAAAGGGCCCTATTACTAAGGCCCTTGACCAAGAGTTGTTATCAGGAATGGATGTTAAATGTGAAACGTCTCCTTAGGATCTGTAAAACTCATGATCTAGGCTCTTCTCTGACCCAGCAGGATGGTTTAGGGTATGACTGGGTTTACTGACACAAAGCCAGTCTCTCACCACTGGTGTGGCCACTGTTGGTGACTATTCTTTTCCTACAGTGCTAGATTCTACTTGCTAAGATTTTTTACTTTTTAATTTTTTTTTTTTTTTTTTTTGAGATGGCATCTTGCTCTGTGGCCCAGGCTGGAGTGCAGTGGCATGATCTCGGCTCACTGAAACCTCCACCTCCCAGGTTCGAGCGATTCTCCTGCCTCAGCCTCCTGAATAGCTGGGATTACAGGCACGTGCCACCACACCTGGCTAATTTTTGTATTTTTAGTAGAGACGGGGTTTTACCATGTTGGTCAGGCTGGTCTCGATCTCTTGGCCTCATGATCTGCCCACCTCGGCCTCCCAAAGTGCTGGGATTGCAGGCATGAGCCACGGCGCCTGGCCCCATTTGCTAAGGTTTCACTGGGGGGTCTCTGCATTTCCATTCATGAGGGGAGCTGGTCTGTGCTTCCTTTCTCTGTGTCTAGCTGCAGCACAGTGGTGAAAGCCACAGGTTCTGGAACAAGCCTTCCTGGATCCAATCTCAGTCCCACCACGTGTGAGTTGCAGACCTCAGGCAAGATGCTTCACCTCCGAGTGTGTAAGGCGGAGAGGAAGATGCCCTCCTTGGGACTGCCCTGATATTTCACTCCCTCCTGCAAAGTACTTGGCATAGTGGATGGTGCCCCTTCCAGCTCATGCCCACACTCGGGCCACGTGGGTTCCAGGGAGTGAATGGGGTGGCTTCCTTTCTTTGTGGCGTCTCTGAGCTGCAAGCTCTTTGGAGCCACGAGGGTGGCTCCTTGACAACCTCTCACTTTGCTCCATGGACCAGAGACCTTTTCAGGCTTTCTACCTTGAGTGGGTGTCACTGATTTGTATGGCCTGCAGAACAGTCATTTCATCAAGTTTTGAAATGTACTAAAAGGCCGGGCCTGTACACTTTGGGAGTAATCCCAGCACTTTGGGAGGCCGAGGTGGGTGGATCATGAGGCCAAGAGATCGAGACCATCCCAGCCAACATGGTGAAACCCTGTCTCTACTAAAAAATACAAAAATTAGCTGGGCGTGGTGGCGCGCGCCTGTAGTCCCAGCTATGCAGGAGGCTGAGGCAGGAAAATTGCTTGAACCCAGGAGGTGGACATTGCAGTAAGCCAAGATTGTGCCACTGCACTGCAGACTGGCACCTGGCGACAGAGCGAGACTCTGTCTCAAAAAAAAAACAAACAAAAACAAAAAGGAAATGTACTAAAATGGAAGACAGCACTCCCTTACTAAACTCCTCTCTGTCAGCTGCACGTACTTGAAGGGAATTCTCTTAAAAAAGAAAAAATGTAAAAAGCTAAACTAACACCTTTTCTGTATCTGTGGTGTGCACTGCCTGCGCATACTCATACTGCACATTTACGGGCAAAGTCTGCTCATCAGTTCTCAAAATCCAGTTCATTGACTCTGAGATGAGATGCCCCTGTTCCATGTCACCTTTCAGTCACATGATCTTTAGTCACATCATCTGTCACAGACAGGGGCCTGTCACTACATTCTTGGTGCTCTGCCCAGCTGCTTTTGGTTCACACATAGCAAGCACGTTACTTGAGAAAACAAAGCTTCATGACCGTTACAGTCCTTACAGAACTGTACGAACATGCATTTTAAATATGATTTCAGCCCATTCATTCCATTAACACTGCCTCTTCCTTCTCTGTAACTGTTTGTTTTCTTAAGTTTAGGTGGAGTGGGCATAGACTCTGGAGCCACTGGCCAGCTTTATCCCTGCCTAGTGCCATCCTGGCAAACACCTGGCCTCTCTGCACCTCAGTTTCCTCATCCGTAAAATGAGATAACAAGAGTTTCTGGGCATAACGGGGACTTGTAAATTTCTTTAAATGGGATAATGAGAGTGCCTTCCAGGTGGAGAGACAGTGAAGCATGATGTACGTGAACCACTGAGCAAAGCTCAACAATGGCACAGCCGTTACCATGGTTGGGGGGAGCAGTGCCACACGCTGCATATGTGTACAGCACTCAAGTTTTGAAATAAGGCCGGGCGCGGTGGCTCACACCTGTAATCCTAGCACTTCGGGACGCCGAGGCAGGCGGATCACCTGAGGTCAGGAGTTCAAGACCAGACTGCTCAACATGGGGAAACCCCATCTCTACTACAAGTACAAAAAATTAGCCGGTCGAGGTGGCAGGCACCCATAATCACAGCTAATTGGGAGGCCAAGGCAGGAGAATCATTTGAACCCGGGAGGTGGAGATTGTAATGAGCTAAGATCACACCATTGCACTCCAGACTGTGGGTCACGATGGCCAGGGGGAGACCTATGTTAATTCTAGCTAAATAATTAGCTTACTTGGCTCAGAGTACACTGAAGTTTATACACTGAACTAAACTATATTATCGGGGCCGTTAATTGGAAATCAAGCGGCAACAGGAGGCCTAAGGTAGAGACCATCCGAGCGCGCAGGAACACTGCGGAGCACGCCATACTGCTCTGGTCCTGCAGATGCATTCTCAGCATGGAGACTGCGTGAGGGCCTCGTAAAGAGGGCTCATGCAAAGATCTCTGCTTGTCTCCTCCTTGCCAGCCCCCATCTGCAAAGCCCCTCCCTCTTGTGAGCGGAAGGGAGGTGACCTCTGCTCACAAGATCCAGGAGGGTCTTTGCAGATGGGAGCTGGCAAAGAGGGGAAAAGCCTTGCAGGGCAGAGATCACGGAATGCCTCAGGCTCTGCCTAGGTTCTCGGAATATGGAGTGATTTCAGTTGTTCTATGTCCTCAGTGCTGCGGAGATAAAAACCCCTCGACGCACTGGGTGTGGTCAGGACCCCAAGGCTCCTCATGATGCAGCCGCACCCTAATAACAATTGGTGGTAAAGTCAGAGTTCCAGTTTAGCACGTCTTAGAAGGATCTCAAGTGCACTCCACCCAGCTATCTTACCCACTCCTTCACCCTCCCCTTCCACGCCCGTAAGATCAATGAGATGGCGCACATAATAAAATTGTTTGGAGCCCAGAGCTCCAGGCCAAGCGGTTCCCACGCTTGACAGTCCCCTGGACCTGTGCTGTAAATTCTACTCTCGTGTCTCTGTCTTTATTTCCTTTTCTCCATCCCTCGTCACCGCTGGGACTAAGGGCACCCACATATGGGGTTGGATTGGGACTCAACACAGCCTGGGCAACAGGAATGAAACTCAGTCTCAAAAAAAAAAAGTTCAGACTATTTCAAGCTAATGCCACAGTGACTTCTGCTGCCCCTGGGAACCAAGGGCCCCCTGCTCTGGGATGGAATGCTCCCTCCAAGGGACAAGAAGACCCATTTACATCCCCATTTCCGCCCCTGCTAGGGGTGCAGGCTGTTCTTCCAACAGGGGCCGTCAGGTGCAAGCCAAAAATGGCCAGTGCTCAGAAGGAGAAGGAAATACCATGTCTTTCTGCCTGTATACAGGGGATCCCGCCCAGGGCATCTCCAAGTGGCTGGAATTTCCCCTTTTACAAAAGGGGATGCCAAAGGCCAGAGACGCTAAGTAATCTGCCCACAGACATGACTTAATGTATAATATTCCACTGTATGAAAATACCATGATTTAATTTAGTATCATGAAAGGAAGATTTACTCTGCCAAAAGGAAAGGATTAAGCTGAGTCACGCAAGAAGCTGCTTTTCATTTTGTTCCCAAGCAGAGAGTGAGGATGAAAGGTGAAAAGTTCCACTCTGTGCTCACCTGACCTGCGTAAAGTGCAGATTTACTGAGTGCCAGAGGAATACATAACTGGCTGTTCCCCTACCTGCCAGGAGTATTTCCACTTTCACAAATGCTGGCAAATGCTAGGATTCCAGGCTTATTTTGAGGCTTAACTCTCCCTCTGTAGAGTGATAAGGTCTCACTTTGTCCCCATCCCCCAGACTCTCCCTCTCCCGCGCGGGTCAGATGGGAGTCTACACCTGCTGGAGGGGGCTTTGGGAACTTCGCGCCTGTCCATGGTGGAACACCCCACACCACCCGGCCCCGGAGATCCGGAGGCGGCTGTGATTCGGTTTCGGGCCTTCCCACCCCACTAGGTGAACAGTCTTGGGCAGCTGTAGGAACCTCCAAAAAGCTCACGAGAAAACCCGAGGCGGTCGGTTCTCACCTTGTAGTGCGCCAGCTGGAGGGCCAGCTGCACAAAGGCGTCCGGGCTGGTGCGACATTTCTTGATGATTCCTTTACCAAAGGCTTCGAATGGGAAGGAATGGAAATCCACATCGTTTGCCAGAAGGTTTGCGGTGTTCAGGGAGGTCTCTATAACCTCTTGACACTTGAGAGGAAGAAGAAAAAGAAAGTACTGGCACACACCCGGAAGGAAATGGAGGCTGTTTTTTCATGCAGCTACAAACTCGGTACTGGGAGGCACACCGGCGTTTTCTTGGCCCAGAGGCCCCAGTAAGTTAGGAGCACGGCTCCCTGACCTCCGAGGAGCAGCGGGAGCGTTATAGTAGGTAGACGGTCTGACAAGAGCAGGGCAGGAGAGGGCTTCCTCCGACACACATTGGGATGTCGGGGACCATCAGTGACGGTCAGGTGGTTCTTAACTGTCTCTCTAAAATAACAACTTGTCACAGCTGGGTGCCAGGGAATGGCAGCTCCCAACAGACAGAAACACCTGGAGCTGGCCGGCCGTGGGTGGCCGACGCCTGTAATCCCGGCACTTTGGGAGGCCCAAGCAGGTGGATCACAAGGTCAAGAGCTGGAAAACCAGCCTGGCCAATATGGTAATACCCCGTCTCTACAAAAAATACAAAAAAAAAAAAAAAAATTAGCCGGGCGTGGTGGCGGGCGCCTGTAATCCCAGCTACTCGGGAGGCTGAGGCAGGAGAGTCACTTGAACCTGGGAGGCGAGGGTTGCAGTGAGCCGAGATCGCGCCACTGCACTTCAGCCTGGGTGACAGAGGAAGACTCCAACTCAAAAAAAAGAAAAAAAGAAAAAGAAACACCTGAAGCTGGTGACCAGCAGCTTCCTGATTAAAAAAATCTCAGGCATTGGACGACTGGGCTCAAGCATGCGCATTGACAGGCAAAATGGCGGCGTCTAACTGGCGTAGGACCTTCCTCTAGGAATACTAAAAGACCACCTCAAGTGAGCATGCGCACAACTCCTGCAACCACATCGCGCATGCTCCCGTCGCCAGCGCTGGCAGCCACTGTGCATGCGGACAGCCCACCCCAAGGGAGGAACGCAAGACCCTGGAAGCATGGCAGTGTATAAAACCTCAAGTCAAAACGTCAGACCGCGCTCCTGATCGCTCCACTTGGCCACCCGGCCCTCTTCCAAATGTACTTTCTTTCTCTCATTCCTGCTCTCAAGTTTTTAAATAAACTTTCTCTCCAGATCTGAAACTTGCTTTGGTCTCTCCTGCCTTCTGCCCCTCAGTCAAATTCGTTCTGAGAAGGCCAGAACTGAGGTTGCTGAGGACCAGCATGGATACGTTCCACCGCTAACAGGAACATTGGTAGGGATGGGGGCACCCTGGCTTCCAGTGAGACCCTAAAGGGTGTTTCAAATAGTCACACATCATCTCATTAAGCCCACTGTTCGTCATACAGTGGCAATCGAGAAACACATTTTTGACTTTTTATTTTTTATTTATTTCAGACAAGGACTCAATCTGTTGCCCAGGCTGGAATGCAGTGGAGCCATCTCTGCTCACTGCAACCTCCGCCTCCCAGGTTCAAGCGATTCTCCTGCCTCAGCTTCCCAAGTAGCTGATTCTACAGGTGCCCACCACTGCCCCCGCTAACTTTTGTATTTTTAGTAGAGATGGGATTTCACCATGTTGTCCGGGCTGATCTTGAACTCCTGACCTCAGGTGATCACCCGCCTTGGCTTCTCAAAGTACTAGGATTACAGGCGTGAGTCACTGCACCCAGCCGATAAACACATTTTTAAAAACAAATCTTTGAATGTATTTTGCATATGAGAAGGAAAAAAGAAAAAAAAATCTTAAAAAATAAATGGACAACCATACAATGAAATTTTATTCAGCACTAGGAATAAATGAGCCATAAAACTATGAAAAAACTTGGAAGAAATTTAAATGGTTACTACTAAGTGAAAGAAACCAATCTGAAAAGGCTACACATGGATGATTCCAATGACAGCAGCAACACTTTATCCACAGGATCCATTGCAAGACCCTCGGTGGACGTCTGAAAGCTCAGATAGTGCCGAACACTACAGAGACGGCGTTTCCTCCAGCTCCTAACCAAGACAGCCACTAAGTGGGTGGCATCTACAGCATGAACACACTGGACAAAGCAATGACTCCATCCTGGGTGGGACCATGCAGGGCAGCAGGAGGTTTCATCACGCTACTCAGAATAGCATGCAACTTAAAACTCGTGAATTGTTGACTTCTGGAATTTTCTGTTTAATATTTTTGGACCTTGGAATTGAAATCTCAGAAGGTGGCACCTCAGCTAATGGGGGGAAGTACTGTATCTGACATTCTGGAAAAGGTAAAACTATGGGGACAGTGACTATGATTCACGGTTGCCAGGGGCTGGCAGGAAGGAAGAATACATAGGTGAAGCACAGAAGGTTTTGCAGTGAAACGATGCTGTACGAGACTGTAATGGCAGGCACAGGGCATTGTCCATGTGTCCAAACCCAGACAATGTACAACACCGAGGGTAAATCCACCGTGGACTTCGGGGGATAATGACGGGTTGGTGCAGGTGTGTTAGTTGGAACAAAGCATCACTCTGTTGGGGATGTGGATAGCTGGGAAGGCTGAGTACGTGTGGGGAGAGGGGTACATGGGAACTCAGCTTTGCTGTGAACCCAAAACTCCTCTAAAAAATAAAGTCTGTTAAAATAAATTTTTAAAAAATAAATGATAAGTGACTTGGTCAGTTACCAGGTCCCTAATCCCAAGTGCTCTGCGGAGGTTACGGCTCTCTGCAGAACCCACACCAGCCCTGGGGCCATAGGGCAAGCAGAAGCAATGGGCTAAAACCACAGCACTAGACACAGTACCTCACCATGTGGAAAATTATTTCTGGCTGGGTGCGGTGGTTCGTGCCTGTAGTCCCAGCACTGTGTGAGGCCAGATGGGTGGCTTGCTTGAGCTCAGGAGTTTGAGACCAGCCTGGCAACGGGGCAAAACCCCATCTCTACCAAAAACAAAAAAATTAGCTGGGCGTGGTGGCACACACCTGTGGTCCCAGGTACTTGGGAGGCTGAGGTGGGAGGATTGCTGGACCCCGGAAGTTGAGGCTGCAGTGAGCCGTGACTGCACCACTGCACTCCTGCCTGAATGACAGAACAAGACACTGTTTCAAATAAACAAATAAAAATTTTAAAAAAGAAAATGGTATTTTGGACTTCAGGAATTTCTCCTTGGATTAAGTGAACTAGGATTTGGTATTTGCAACCCTAAAATTCCTTCCCAAAGGGCTCCTGTGCCTCTGAGAGTGTTTAAGAGGTACCAAAATGAATTAAACTTTGAGAATTATAAATCAGCAATTTAGAGGCATTCAGCTCTAACCTATGTGATTTTGGCTTCCATTTTTTATTGTGAGCATTTTATAGATGTCTGGTTAAGTTTGAGCTGGAAATCCCACTGACAATCTTAGCCAAAAGCTTCAAACAGAAGAAGAAATATTTACTGAGGTTTCCGAGGCAACAGGAGCTGTGACAGCCCCGCAGACCTCACAAAACTCCCGAGCAAATAAATTTCAGCCTCAGTGGTCTTCAACTTAGCTCATGATTGGGCAGGAACTACAGTTGGAAAATTCATTTGTGAGAGTTCAAATATGTTTCCCATCCCAGGTAAGTAACAATGGTTGGATAAACTGGACTTACTTCCCCTGGGATGTCCCACTGCAGCCTGGTGGGGTAGGGAATGTTCGGATTGGTGTCACCTTTGCAGTGCCCATCCTCCGCATAGCCCATCTGGAGGCTGTCAGTGGACAGGACGTACTGTCAAAAAGAAAACAAACTTACTAAAACTGACAGTGGTACATAAAACACATTCAATCACCAACACGGACAGGGCCTTGTTCTTTGCAGAGATGTTACAAAGATTGAACCACAGCTGCTAACGCTTCCTGTATGCTCAGCACTGGGTGGAGCTGATCTCCACATCAGATGTGAAACTCTCTGAGCATGTGGCAAAGAGAGGACAGGAGAGGGCTAACAGCTTGCTCAAGTTCATGGTGCTCTTTTCACCGGCAGGTAAACCTAAGCCAATTTATTTACTGGGCCTCACCTACTGGGGGTCGGAACCACTGTGGCAGCGACGCCATCCAAGCACAGGCGACAGAGCAGACAAGAAGTGTGTTTTGTGAACAAAACAGACAAGAATTCTTGCCCTTCCTTAAAAAGTGAAATATACCTATACGACCTATTAATTTCACTCCTAGGTATATACTCAATGAGACGAAATGAAAAGAGATATTCACACAAAAACTTGCACAGAATGTTCATAGCGGCATTATTCATAACAGCCAAAGAGTACAAACAGCCCAAATGCCCATCCACTGATGAAGAGGTAAACCAAGTGTGGTCGATCCATACAATGGGATAGTATCCAGCCCTAAAAAAGAATGAAGCCCAGATATGTGTTACAATAAGATGAACCTTGAAAGCATCATGTTGAGTGAAAAGCAGGTGGGCGCGGTGCCTCACTTCTGTAATCCCAGCACTTTGGGAGGCCAAGGTGGAAGCAACGCTGGAGGCTGGAAGTTCCAGACCAGCTGGGCAACATGGTGAGATCTCATCTCTATAAAAAGTTTAAAAAATTAGCCAGAGTGTGGTGGCACATGGCCGTAGTCCTAGTTACTGAGAAGGCTGAGGTGGGAGGATCACTTGAGCCCAGGAGGTCAAGGTTACAGTGAGCCATGACTGTGCCACTGCACTCCAGCCCGGACAACAGAGCAGGGCTCTAAATAGAAAGGAAAGAAAACACTGCCGGGCGCGGTGGCTCAAGCCTGTAATCCCAGCACTTTGGGAGGCC